AATGAAGCAAAGAAAAAGTATCACAACTTAAATTGACTGGTCCGCATACACTTAATGAATCTCCTCACTTTTATGTTAAGATCAGGTCTCTTGTCTTTTATTTCCTTTTATTATTATCATTATTATTATTATTATAAAAGAGATGAAATTCAGGAAGTGTCCTCTTACTATATATATATATATATATATATATATATATATACAGTAATCCCCCAATTAGTACGACTTATGTGGACATTGAAAGATATGCACTAATCGAAAACATTAATCGAATATTGATTTTTCTCTCCAGAATCGATCCTTCAAATCTACAAATCAACCATTCACCCTTGCATGGAGTATTGCTACCATATATGGTCTGGAGCCCCTTCTGTTTGCCTCGGGGTTCTTGATAAGATTCAGAGACGGATATGCAATGTAATTGGCCCTGATCTGGCATCTCATCTGCAGTCGCTCTCTCACAGACGTGCCTTTGCCTCCCTCTGTCTTTTTTACAAATACTTTCATGGTAACTGCTCCGAGGAGCTGCTTTCGCTGGTTCCCAGACTTCATGAATTTAAGCGTTCTACTTGGCTGGCATCTCGCTCTCACCCTAACACTGTCGAAACAGTTAAATGTAGCCGTCTCTTCTACTCCAATAGCTTCATGTCTCGCACCTCTTGCCTGTGGAACTCACTCACTTTTTCCTGTTTCCCTGATGGCTATAATCTCCAACTATTCAAATGTAATGTCAATCGACGTCTCCAGATGCCTTGATCTATCCCTTATCCTTCTCTTCATCCTTTCCTCTATCACTCCTATTTGCTCTAGCTCCAACTCTCTGTAACCTCTTGCGTGCTAATGGCTTCCCGACTTGCTTGGGATAAAACGCTTATAAAAAAAAGTAATAACAACCTAGGAAATGATGTAATTTGTATCTCAAATGTTAATTTCTAATTTGCATACTTTTTAATTAAAATATAGGTACATACAAGAAGATACAATAAAAATACTATGAATTAATATTTATTAACCTGATTTTTTAATGAAAAAACTTATTTAGTGGGGCTTGTCGCACGGTATTCTTCTGTTTGTCATATAATTGGCGGTACTGAGAAATTGCCACGTCATATTTTTCAAACATCTCGTAAGCATTAGTATTTTAACTTGACAATTTTATTTATAATCTTCCCATAGTAAATCCATACATCTTTTATATTTCGATATTTTTAATAACTATAAATTTCTGGATCTAATTAAATCGTTTGAATCAAATTAAGTCGTCCATTTTTTTTAGCAAAAAATCAGAAGACCTTAAAAATAAGCATGAAGAAAAAATATTCAAAAAATTTAAATAGAGACAGATATTCAAATATGTAATTTTCTTATCGGCTTAGATTTTAAGATTTATCTCTTTATAACCGTCCATTTTTTAGAACACTTACTGTAATTACTTATTAACGTAATACTTGACAAACAAAATCAGTTAGGTGCTATGCGTGATACACGCTTAGGCGATCATGTATCTTTCGATACACGTATCTTTCGATACATCACTGACGAGGCAGATTTTTTCCCGCAGTAGGCTGCCTTTTCTTTCTGTAGTAGACCAGTTATCATCCAAGGCTATAGAATCCGGCCTGTCCTGCTATTTACCCATAGCTGGGGGTGAGGGGTGAGAAGAAGAGGATTTATACATTTCCCAAGGGTATAAGCACGTAAGTGAATGCAATGGATCTGACTGGAATTCGAACTCGGCTCATCGATTCCTCAATCCGAGACGCTATTACTCCACAGCTATGCATTACTCTACAAAATAGTTACCCATTTTTAAAGTTTAGAAAATGTTTAATTAATCGGTAACTATTAAAAAAATCAAATTTCGATTACAATAGTTAAAGTTAAGAATGTTTTACCGCAGTAATCGAGTATTACCTGTGCACTAATCAAAATTTAGTATAAAAAATTTTAGCGCACTAATCGAAATAGCATTAATCGAGGGATTCCTGTATTTATTTATTTCCATCAACCGGCCTGAATATTCGAGAAATCTTATGCCGGAATAGGCATATTTTTATAATAAGAGAACAGTCTTGTTCGTATCAAAATATAACTAAGCATATTACTAAGTTTACTAGTGATTGTACCCGTGTTTGGTGTTTTGTAACGGTTGTATTGGAACGGTTCTGTGATCTTTACGCAATATTGCCTGTGGCTTCTGGTAGACATATTTTAGGACGGACGCATGATCCTGAATGGCCGGCGAGATTCTACGCCGGTCTAATATCAGTACAAAATAATGGTAGTTCAGAGTGATCGATCATCAGCAAATCGTTAACTATATAAAAAAAATCAATTTTCAATTACTATCGTTAAACTGAAGAATGTTTTAGCGCTAATCGAAAATGCATTAATCGAATACTCAGTAATCGAATTCCTGTACCTTGTTTTCTGTTAACCAAGAGGAGCAGTCTCAATTCTTCAAATAATTCTTCATTCAGATAGAAACATTAAATTCTTTCCTTCCTAACCACTGGGCAACTACTTTTTATTGCAAAACCGAAGAATTTAATCAACTTTCACATTATAATCCTGACCCCTATTCACAAATCTTGTCCTACCAAGTTCAAATTCCAGCTGAGTTACAACTCTTGCTATCGTTTCCGAACAAATGCCCTTGTAAAAGGTATGAATTCATCTTCCCTAGCTATGGGTTAAATAATACGAGATTGAGCTTACTTAGTTAACTCTGAATTGTGACAGAGAGAGAGAGAGAGAGAGTGTGTGTGAGAGAGAGTCTGGGAAATACACACACATGTATATTTTTTAGTGAAATTGGAGAAGATTTGAATAGCGAAATTAAATCAGAGAATCTTGTTTACTGATGGGGAAATCTGATCTAGGGCAGAAGTTGTACCCATTAAATCTGTGTCATCAGAAAGACAATGGAAATGGTCGAAATAATTTTTATCGATTAAAAATTGAAATAGAGCTGAGTAAGCTAAAAGGAACTTTGGAATTCACATGATTTTGGTTGAAGCAGCCAGAACCCCGTGATAATCGCGTGCGAAGTAGCAGGGCCGAGGGTCAGTTATAATCAGCTGGGTTTATCTATATAAACGTGTAGTTATGCTGAAAAAGCCAGACGGAAGAAAATTCTTGAAGAGAGAAGAGAGAATTGGCCCGGGCGAGCGTTGGGAGGAGGAACGTCACTATAACTTTAAGCCCCGCACAGAAATCTTTATCCCTCCATCGCAAGAGTCATATATCATTCTGAGACGATTTAGCAACAAGTTAATCACACACACACACACACACACACACACACTCTCTCTCTCTCTCTCTCTCCCTCTCTCTGTCTAGAATCCAGTGTATGAATTTTTTGTTTTCTTTTTTTACTTTTCTTTTCTTTAAATCTTTTCTACTATTCTTTTCAGCTATATAAAAGACATTAACAATTCAACCATTGAATCGATGTTTGTCCGGCTTTCTGCAGATATTATTATTATTATTATTATTATTATTATTATTATGCTGCATTCTAAATTTCTTAGCGCAGACTCTTCAGCCGTGTCTACATCTTCAGTCGACCGTGAATGGACGGACATCACTTCTGCTTTCTGGATCAAACAAATCACAACATGGACAGGAAGCAGGGTTAAACCAGCAGACCGGTCGAATAATCTACGGATGCCTCAGGGGACCTACGGTCACTCCTCCTTTAAGTTCGGTTAGGACCGAGTAGACACCTCAACCCAGAGAGTAAGACGCCGGAGGTTGAGGAGCCGAGGCGAAAGTGTTAGAGAATTCAAAGGGGTAGTATGTGATATAGCAACCCCAGACTTTGAGAAGTTACTTGCTATAAGAGACCACTGCAGAAACACCTAGCTTGCTCACCGTGTATAGCTTCTCACCAATGCCTCTGGAGAAAAGCTACGAATCCAGTTTCCTCCGGCTGTAATTCCAATGAGTGTTTCTAAAGACTTTTCATACTTGTGACCCATTTTTTTCAGGCCTACATAAGTATAGTTTTTTTAGTCATTTCACCCCTAGCAAGGTAATAAAGTCACTAAGACACAAAAGGGGCAACATAGTGTGAAACAATAAGAAGAAGAGAAGCATTATTAAGTGGAGAGAACAATAAAAGGAGAGAAATCAAGAAAACAGATAACGATTGACGTTGCATTTACGTTTTTGAAGATCGCAGTTGACTGGAAAGCAAGAAGCCGGAAGTGAGTTCCACAGGCGAAAAGAGCGGGAAATAAAATCGTTACAAAAGAAATTACAATTACATCTAGCCAATTTAGCTGTAAAATGATGAGACCTAGCCGCCAATCTAGTACTGCGCTTAAATTCATAAAGTCTAGGTACCGTAGAGGAAACATCATCTGAACAGTAGCCATGAAAGTATTTATAGAACGGGCACAAGAAAGCGACGGTGGGAAAGTGAGTGAAGCTGGGATGCCAGGTGATGACCAATAACATTGCAGATACTACACTGAATTTTATCAAGAATCTTTAATTATATAGCAGGAGCACCAGACCCGATGTGGCAGCAATATTCAAAGCATGAACGAATGACAGACTTATGTAAGATAAATTCTGGAGAGAAATGGGGGCTAAATAGATGGCATTACTTTCGGAACGTCCCTCGTAAATATCAGTGTGTTTCACTTGTAACCAACTTTGACTGAAAAAAATGAGGGTCTTGCCAATTTATCAGCTTCAAACTATTTAACGACATTTTATTTTCATAACGTTTTAGATAAATCGGGATTTAATCATACTGACCATTTTATTTTTGTATTCATTGCTGGACGTTATTATAAATAATTATTCGTTCTTTTGAGCGTCTTTCAGTCACCGTTTATTTTTCGATCCATCTATCATCTCAAGTAATTGACCCAGGCTTACATTGAACTCCTAAACAAGAACCATAATAGCAGCAACAGGAAGAATAAATAATTGAAGGAGTCGCCATCAGTCGGTCTCAGGAGACTGGGATGATAACGTTCTGGATGATGTTTCGATTGCAACGTCTACACTTCTTCCGGTCTCTTCAGATCACAAGGGCTGGGTCGGTCGATATGGAGGACACACTGTTACCCACGCTGTCGGCTTCCCACACTCCACTCTCCATTCTTCGCGTCGTTGAAACGACTTGGAAATGCAAATGGCGACACACATGGTTCTGGCGCAGCTGTAGGAGCTCGCGTCAGAAACCTCGATTGAAACCTGGACAGACCTGGACGCTTGTAATGGAGCAATTCCGGTGTGCGAGTGGTGCAAACGCACTCGAAGAAATCGAAAGGACGAGATCAAATTTCGGTCGATCTCTATTTCTTTAGCTGGTCACAAACGCGCTCGGAGAAAAGCCACGAATCCAGTTTCCTGAGGCTGAGAGTTAAATAAGTGTTTCTAAAAACTTTTCTAAACTGTCACCCATTTTTTCAGGATGGCATAAGTATTTTTAATCATTTTACACTAAAAAAAAGAAAAAAAAAGAAAAGAAAATAAGATTATTAAACGAAAGGGTTCCTTAGTCTTCAATAACGCATTATTAAACAATTCCAATATATATATATATATATATATATATATATATATCGAGTATTGAATAGTAGCTCGGATTGAGGAATCAGAGAGCCGAGTTCGAATTCCAGTCGAATCCATTACATTCACTTAGATGCAATTACCCTGGGAAAGATATTAATTCTCTTCTTGCTCCAGCTATGGGTAAATAGCAGGACAGACTGGGTTTCATAGCCTTGGATGGCAACTGGCCTAGCAGGACAACTCTGTATTCAAAACCTGCAGAGTTTCGTTGGGAGAACTTGTGGTACCTGGTATCTGTATTAGGCACTTCAAAAAGTGTGGTTAGTTCTGCCCAAAGCCTTCACCACTATATTCAAATCATATGTGCTGGTGTCTGGCTGTCTGAGCTACGTCGAATATGAAAGGGAAGTCCACCATATATATATATATATATATATGCAGATAAGTAGAAAAATAGGAAAGAATACGTTAGGTAAATAATCCGGAGTTCTTTAGTAATTGGTTTTTATTTAAAAAGAACAGTG